CTTTGACTACCACGTGGTGGGAATAGCGATGCCAATGCATCGCTATTCCCCATACAAGGCTGCCAGAGTCGCGCGCTTGGCATGAAATCCAAAGCAATAACTGATGTGTCTATTCTATAGGAAGCTCGTTATAATAGGCGACGGTGCCTGCGGCAAGACATCACTGCTATCAGTCTTTACACTCGGCTATTTCCCCACCACCTACGTTCCCACCGTCTTCGAGAACTATGTCACAGATTGTCGAGTGGATGGGAGATCAGTACAATTGGCCTTGTGGGACACAGCAGGGCAAGAAGACTACGAAAGATTGAGGCCGCTTGCATACGCAAAATCACATGTCATCCTAATCGGCTTCAGCGTCGACAGCCCCGACAGCTTGGAGAATGTGCGACATAAATGGATTGAGGAAGCCCGTGAACGGTGTCCCGATGTGCCTGTCATTCTGGTAGGCCTGAAGAAGGATCTGAGAGAAGACCCGATGGCCATTGAAGAGATGCGGAAGCGGAGTCAAAAGTTTGTTACGTCGCGAGAAGGCGCTGAGATGGCTCAGGCTTGTGGCGCTCGCAAATACCTCGAATGTTCAAGCTTGACGGGCGAAGGTGTGGATGATGTTTTCGAGGCTGCCACAAGAGCTGCTCTTCTGAGGTTTGATGGTAAGCAAGGTGGCGGCGGATGTTGCGTCATTCTGTGATGCACGACACGAGATTGGACTTGGATGAATATGGGCCGGGTTGGAAAAACACAATGGGCGGCTGTTTCCCCTTGGATCAACACAAGTTGGAGGACGCCACCACCGAGGGACTTAATACCGACACTCAAAAATGATGAAAAGGCGGACGTTGTACCTTTCCCTCTTGGACAAATGAAGTCTTGAACCGGGGCACGATGTCTGGGGAGAGATTGAACCATACCAGGCATGAGCTTGAATCTGTGCGACACGAGACGAACGAATTTTTTCATACTCGATTTAGCGAACTGACATCAACGATGGACCTTTCTACTGTATGCCTTCGTCATTTTTTCCAATTCGGGTTTGATGGTCGAGGAAGGTTTGGTCACTGGCGTGACAGATACAAAAAGTTTCCCAAAGCCTTTTCCTCGGTGTATATTATACATGTGTATATATACATTGTCGATTCTTTGTCTCGCTCACTTCTCCTTGTTTGAGAATTACCGTCATGTAGGCACATGCAATGACCTACGCATGCTCGTCCGGGACATATTTGTTGCTCTCGGGCAAATGGGAGGGACTTTGTGTTGAATAGACCATGGCCAGAACTTTGTGTTTCGCCGACAGACCGTTCCGACCCTCACACCCCGACTCTGGCCCTGACTCTGGCATCGAGCTGAAAGAGATTCAGAATATTCGCCTGCACGAGACTCTCGCCCTTTTCCTTTTTTTCCACCCTAATGGAATCTAGAGCACCAAGTAACCCTTTTCATTTCCTTGCGCCCAACCGTCAATATATCCCTTGTGGTGTCCGATCGAACGTGGTGATTGTAGGACTTCCGAGTCCACCATCCACCACAGACAGGCGCGGTCTGTCGGCATGAATGTCTTGTATTATACATAGTTAGTTCCCTTGCTTCGCTGGCGGCTTGAACCAAAATCTCTCCGGCCGGGGTCACTCGATTTCTGTCACCATAAAGCCGGGGTTCCTCTTTGCGTCTTTCTTAAGATTCGATTCGTGTGATCCTTGAGGACAGAAATTAATGTCTTTTCCACGCGTAATCCCAGATCTTGGCCTTGCTGCCACTTCCTTCGCCGGCGTCTTCTTCCACTCCAGCGCCCAATCCGCCCGTGCTGCCCACCCACTCGACCAACCCGCGGGCGTACTCGATGGGGACGCCTCCCCTCCCTCTGGCCGCGGGACCCGAGGCGGCGCCCGGCCCACCTATGCCCCAAACACCGGTCTTCATCTGGGCTTTACGGAACAGGCGCCCTCCGTCTCCGGCGCCGATGCGGAGTTCTTCATTCGCGTCCCGCATCGCGTTGTACTGGCGCTCCAGCTCGAGTTCGCGCGACTTTTTGAGGTTGTGCCGATAGAGATTCCATGCCCGAGCAATCGTCCAGTGTCGGAGGTATCTGTTGCGCGAGAAGCGGAGCGGGCGCGGCGTCAGGGTGGTGGGGTGGTGCAGAAAATAGCGGATCAAAGCTGAGGAGAGTTAGTTGTTAGCACGATTGGGGAGAGGTGAGAGGTGCGGAAGCGAAGAATTGTCTGTGGGTTAAAACCCTCATACAATATATTGGCTAAGGCTGGCGCGAGATGGGAGAGAAGACTATAGAGTAGAGGGTCTGACGGAAAAGCCCAGGGAAAGGATGCACAGAGAGGCCAGCAGAAACAACGCGCGACCAAAGAAATAAGAGACTCACTGATTCGTCTATCAGGTCTGCCACCACCTTTCTTTTTCGCGTACTGAGCGGCACTTGTTGAGAAGGACAACCTTGAGCTCGTCGCCCCTTGAGGCGCAGCTTTGCTGCTCAAAGAAAATGATGTCGGGATCACCCTGCGCAGCGACGGGCGAGGCGTGATCTGGAAAGCATGTGCCAGTGCGGCACGGATCGAAGAGGCGTGCATCTGTAGTCGCACCAGGTGTGGCCAGAAGACTGAGTCGTGGGGTGGGAAGACTGAGTTCGCAGGAATCCCCTAGATTGAGAATTGAAGTTGTTCTAAATCTTGAGCTTGACTTCAATTGAACCGACAGGGTCTGGAGCAAACTTTCACGGACAAGGCTGAATGCTTGGCATGTTTGTAGTATCCAGCCTTGTATGGGCCATGATGCCGGCTAAAGTGTAAGGTATGTACTCATACAAAGGATTCAATTCAGCACAGAACCAAGATCGGATGCAAATGTGAGTCCCAATCCCCAAGGTTTCATATTAGCCTCAGATAAGACTCTGAGGGAGTAGTCCATAATGTCTGTCTATGACTGAATAGAGGCATTCCAATTCTGCCAACTTCACCAGGCTTTCTCATTCCAACCCATCAGGTCATAGTCAATAACGATTCGTGAGAACCCTTATACTAAATATTGTTTCGTTCGCCGATCAAAATTCATAATGCGCCTCTGTCGATGTCCCTGGGCCAGCTTCCATCTGCAGTACAGCAATAAAGCGTCTTTGAGCACCACGAAAAGGCATCCACCCACGACACTTCTTCCCCACTTCGTCGACAGCAGCCCGGGTCGGCCGTTCGTGTAGTTGTTGTAAGTCAGCCATGATGATGGCAAGACACAGCTGATGAGATTGCCCATTCCTGCAGCCACTGCAGGGAAGACTAACGCCCCAAGGATAGTCTGTCCAATACTGCCACTACCATCCACAAGATCGTGGCGGCCCAATATTCGACGAACGTGTTGGTTTTCTGGTTGACCTTGCACATTGGCTCCATTCCCGGCAGCGGCAGCCTGTTCGTCGCCGAGACCTTCATCATCATCTTCGCCGTTCAAGTTGACATCAATTTGAAGAACAACTTCGCCCTCCTCGACTATTTCTTCCACATCGTCCTCATTATCGTCGCCACCGTTTTCCCCTGGCACGTCCCCTCGTTCATTGTGTCTGGGTTGTACTTCTGCTAACCACTTGCGGTTGAGGTCACAGAATGCCTTGTGATAGCACCAGTTGTAGATTGATCTCATGGCAGGTAAGCAAGCAAATACAGTGCTTGGTAGGGGTGGCCATATCGTCATATCAATATCAAACTTGTCCGTGATCTGTGTGGAAAGAAGGATCAAGCTGCTTCCCGGGAGCGCAAAGTCGGCATAGTCGGTACGGGCGAGAATCAGATTGACTGGGATCAGGCTGTACATCCAAGCAAACTCGCTCCGTTGTATCGCGTACCTAAAGACTCGATCCGCGTCGTGATGACCAAACACTAAATAGACGGACTGAAATCCATGAAACCATGCCCCAGCCCATAGTGTACCGACAAAAGAAAGACCCAGACCCGGTAGGACCAATTTTCCCAGTGTCCGATCAAGTGCGCGGTAGCTGTCTACCACGTAACTTCTCGGTCTTAATATTCTGATTTCAGATTTGCATTGAGGACACAGAATGTGTCCAGAGTTCTTGTTCTTATTTTTAGGGTTCTCCAGGTCGGCTACCCAGTCCAACAGGCATGCCTCGTGAGCAGTCAGACTGCAGGAGCATGGCGAACGCCAGATTGGGGGGTTGTTTGGGTCATCCTCGCTTTTGTCGCTCATACATATCCAACATTTCGGTCCGAAGGTTGAGGCTCGTGAGGGCGCCGGCGGTCGTGAAGTCTTGTCTTTTGGCGATGGTGATGATGCGGCATTGTTGTCGGTTGGCGCTGAGTCTGCGGAGGTGTGATCAAGCACGACGGTTTCAGCGCCTTCTGAATCCATAGCGAAGGCCGATGCCTGGGGGAAGAGGAAGGGAAGTTGCGGGCCACTTCAGTTGTCCAAGTCAAGGCAGGCTAGGGCCACGCACGCCTCGAAGAAGTCGGCAGAATTTAGTTATTCATGTGTCGTGGCGAGTGTGTCAAAGCATCCCGGTAGTACACAGAGCAAAGGCGATGCCTTGGTTCACGTTAGGAAACAGATCGTGTGTCTCGGTCATTGTGGTTCGACTAGGACGAACAGGCACGGCAGGCTCGCTCCCTCGCTCGGCGCAGGGTGCTCCGCAAATACGTAATTGTCGCTGTTATTGTGACAATCTATATCTAACTGTTTTAGGCTAGCGCCGTGCAAGTTCTCTCAGCAAGATATTTCGGAGAGATTCTGGTGCTTTACGAGGCACTTGATATGAGGTGCCTTGTATGCTTCACCCCCATGCGATGCAATCTTCCTTGAGCACTTGAACGACATCATGCCCTCGCCTATGCAGCGCAAGCAATCTCAGCGCTCATCTCAGCGAACTAGGAGTGTCACATATATCTCGAGCTCTAGACATCGCGCAACTACGAATAGGTACCCCTTGCTTGAGATGCCTGAAGATACCAGTAGCAGAAAAGTTACACTTAGCGACAGAGGTTGTCGGTTCAGCATTTGCTATGCTCCCTCGTCAATCGATAGTCGAGCATCATCCCTTCGAACCAGATCGACCCTTGAGATAGTGTAATGTCCTCGTATAGAAACCCATTTAGAACCGGTCTGATATCATCCCAAGTGAAGATCTGTATCGACCAAGCAAGCTCAGCTAGTTTCTGATTGAACCGCTGTTGGTTTATCGGAGCCTGGTCGAAGGGGGTGCCACGCTCAACTAGAGAGCCAACGTACAATGCCCATATCCTCGCATTCAGAAACTCGTTCCCCAAGCCCCGTGCTGCAAACGCCTCGCAGTGTTCCAGGGCATGCCATAAAGCACTCGAGAGCTGACAGTCTTCATAAATTGGCACGCCCATGATTTGTGGACTGTAATGCGTCCACTTCAGGAGCTGGCACGCTGCCAGCGCGAGGGCTTGGTGACCATACAGATAGCTTTCGAGCCCGTCATTCAGTCCCTCACCTTTGAGCCTTTCCTTGTTGTCCAGATAGTAGTTGATCATACGACTGTAGAATAGAAACGAGACTGCCATCACAGACGTGGTCACCAGTGGTAGAGGTGGAAGGCTCTCACTGGCGGTATTCTGAAGCTTTTCGTATTTGAGCATCTGCCGACGCTTTTTGAACCAGTATGTCACCACCTCGTCTTGTATCGCGCCATCCAGTGCTTCTTCGGGAAATACAGGCATATATGGAGCAGCGGCGTCCCAAAGTGGCTTCAACACGTCAGGCAACCAATCGCCCTCGTCGAATATCGGACGGGTTAGAAACGTAGAAGTGAACTGTAGATCGTTGTGTAGTTGATACAGCAACATTTTATAATCAAGACGTTGTTCTCTCCATCCCTGTCTCAAGACATGCAAAAGCATTTTGCCGTGCACAAGGGCTCCGGAGGAATTGCCGTTGATGATCTCGGCATTGAACAGCATGTTCATGTGCAAACAGCCCACGGTGTCCTGCACGTCCTCACTGCGCGAGACCTTATCTCTGAGTGCTCGGATACTCTGATGCAGGTATTGCAGGGCTATCGGCCGCATGCCAGGATTCGCTCGGGTAGCTATCGAGCCATAGCGAGCCAAAGTACCGAGCGCAGTCCCTTTGTCTTCGAGCGTGGCCACATTGTCTCGCCAATCTCGCATAGCAAGCTCGTTGAGGATTTTGTCACCAATCCTAAAGTGGTACATTAGCGGAAGTATGTAGTCTCGGTAGAGGCTCAGTAGATTGTTTTCTTGGGGTCCAATGGCAACGGAGTAGACATGGAATGGGTCCGAATTCCCTCTACCCACTAGTGAGAGAGGCGAGAGGGGCCTAGCAAGGGCATAAGGTGTTACAGACGACGGTTGTAGCAACGAGGCCGGCTGGTGAACCTCGTCCGTCCTGGAATGGACTCTCCTCTGATTCCGGCCTGATGAGGACTGAGTTGTCTTTACAGCTTCGCGACGCTTCCGAGCTCGATAATTGGTTTGGACGTGCGAATATATCTGACGCCTCAGCGGCAGTGCGAATGTATTTTCTGCGTCATGGTGGACCCAAAGCAGTTGGTTGTTTGAAGGTATAGTCGTAGGGGATGGCCTGCTCCCAGTGCTCTCCATACCAACCCTGAGCAAGACCAACAAACATCAAAGTGAGACAGTGGGCTTTTTCACAACTCATAGCTTGAGAGTGCGGGATGGTCCCTCTTAATGGCCTGGGAATTTGGCGATCAGCACTGTATGAGAGGCCTCACCATACTGAAGTCAAGGAGGCATTGTTCTCCGCAGCGCCAGCAAAAAGCGGGATTGGCCTTGGGTCATGCATGCTTACAAATAGGCCAAATTCATCGCGTATAAAAAGCCCTATATAATTGGGCTACGAGCTACTCGATGCAGTATTGACCCTGGCCGGTGTGCCCTGGCCGGGGCGTTGGGTTTGTGATGTTGACGGATCTTACACAAGCGTTGGCACAGTTGATGCAGAAAAGAAGTCAGAAACGATAAGATTCGGCGCTGACGTTTTTCCGTTCCGAGCGCGTCATTTGTGATGCGTTGCGATGCAACTTCACTTTGTGTGCCAAACTTCAGACTGGTTTCCCCCCCTCCAAACCCCAGAGTCTTGAAGCTGCTGTCAGAGCTGTCCAGCCGGTTAACCAAGTCCACTTTGCAAGAGTCAAATCACGCCATGACAGCTCTAGTGCCAAAGGTTGACAGCCTCGACCATGTGTACGCAGGAGCATCTGAAGGTCACACGGTGCCGGTTGAGCTCGAGCAACGCTTCAAGAATTTGATTCAGAGTTTCCAAAGTGACTATGGTCACAAGCCAGATTTTGTATCCAGAAGCCCGGGACGAGTCAACATAATCGGCGAACATGTCGACTACTCGCTCTACAATGTCTTGCCAACTGCTCTCACTGTGGATGTGCTGATAGCCGTTCGCATTATCTCCCGCGAGAATGGAGGCGCAGCTGAAATCAAGATCGCGAATTTAAATCCTACAAAGTATCCATCCAGGACGCTGATTATACCAGACTCTGGCGCGGTCGAAATTGACCGCGAGAATCATTCATGGAGCAATTACTTCTTGGCTGGGTTGAAAGGGTCTCTCGAATACCTCCGAAAGCAATTTGGCGCCTCTTTCAAGGCCAATGGCATGGAAATCCTGATCGATGGAAATGTCCCAGCGGGCGGTGGCTTGTCTAGCAGTGCAGCCTTTGTCTGTGCTTCTGCGCTGGGTGTCATGGCCGCAAATCACCACGACATCTCGAAACAGGATCTGCTTGACCTCTGCATAGTGTCGGAACGTGCGGTCGGTGTCTTCTCGGGAGGCATGGACCAAGCCGCATCTATCTTTTCTGAAAGAGGCTATCTCCTCTACTGCCGTTTCTTCCCAGAATTCTCCGCAGAGCATGTGCCCGTCCCAACATCAGATCCAGAAGTCACTTTCCTGATCGCACAGTCGTTCGTTACCTCTGATAAGGCGGTGACTGCCCCGATTCATTACAACCTCAGGGTCGTTGAGTGTACTCTAGCCACTGTGGTGTTAGCAAAGCTCCACGATATTGCTCTGAATCCAGATCAGAGCTCGCTGGGGTTCTGCCTGCGAAATTTTCAAGAGGAGATTATGAAGAAGGAAGGTCGCACGGATGAGCCGCTAGCCGCTCAGGTCGAGTCCATGGTCGAGATCATCAAGTCAAACCTCAAAGACGAGGGCTACAGCAGACAGGATATTGCCGAGATTCTGGGCATCTCCGTGGAAGAACTTGAAAAGCAGTACATGTCAAAGTTTCCGATTCGAGCAGATGTTTTCAAGCTGAAGCAGCGCGCCTTACATGTCCTGGAAGAAGCCGGACGTGTTCTCAAATTCCGAGAGGCTTTAACGACCTCGGGGAAATTGACTGAAGAGAAGTTGCTCTATCTTGGCGACCTCATGAACAGGACACAAGCTTCGTGCCGAGATGTATACGAATGCTCTTGTCCGGAGATTGATCAGATCTGCTCCATCGCCCACAACGCCGGGGCCTATGGAACTCGACTCACAGGCGCAGGCTGGGGTGGCTGCACGGTGCATCTGGTACCACAGCATAAGGTTGCTGCTGTGACCGAGGCCCTCAAGCGAGAGTACTATTTCAAAAAGTTCCCAGACATCAGCAAAGACAAGCTCGAAGAAGCTATTGTCGTGTCGAAACCCAGCCAAGGGTCGTCGCTGATTGTCGGTGCGGCGCTTGATGTATGAGTGGGAGCGGGTACTTCGTGGCTAAGAATGGAGCTGGATGATTGTATGGGGGACAAAGGATTCCATGCTCCGGCATTTCCTGGAGACCTCTCATCCGCACTCACGTTGCGACACGATATAGATGCCGGTCAGGGTTGATCATCTGGGCCTCGGTGGTGGTTGTCAACCTGCGCACGATCCTCTGCCTATTTACACATCTGAACAGCCATGATTTCTTCGAACAACAAAGAAATAATCCAGAACAATAACCTCGGATTTATGTACTTGAGGCATCCACCATTCGATGAATGATTACTCAACTCAAACCGCGGTGCCCGGCTCAATTCCCACTGGCCGCAACAAACGCCATGCCTCGCTTAATTACAGCCGTTGTAACCACCGTGTCCACTAGCTTTGCTTTACTATGACGCCGGGTGGGAACCAGTGTCCTGATATCGATCCTCATACCACGGTAACTAGGCTGTTGCAAGCTTAGCACCTACCTTCAATGCCCTATATTGGCCAGAGAAGTGGGCAACAATCTTCTACGTGTATGCTCCCGTTATTCCACCAAAAGTTTCTTCACTATGGCCTCTTCTCGGCCTCTTGTCGAATGCACCTACAAGCATCTGGCCATGTGTTCTGTATATCCTAGGCTGACTATTCGTAACTGCCGCAAGGCTGACTACCCAGTGGAATGATGTACCCGATCATCGTCCGGCTACTCCCCATTCCCAAGGTGGAAAGGGCATGGCGTGGCAACTTGGACCTGAAGTCTAATACCAGAAGTGGCTTTCCCCTTTCGATCGCCACTAGGACATGGGTCAGATCATAAGCTGACAAGTCCCACAGATGCGACCCAGAAAACAGCCAGGGAAGGAATATAGCCATGATTGCCGGAAGTAGGCTCTGGCTCTTCAGACGAGTCTCGTCCAATCCTGATGCGAATCTCATTTGCCTAGTTATGGTGTTTGTGTCAGCTTCCTTAACCGGAACACCGGTCGATGGCTCCGCGATATCGTGGCATAATTCCGACTACATCTCTTGCACTTGTCTCGCGGCGACCAATTCATTTATCAGCTGGTTTCTTCGTTGCATCTCGTCCCTTTCATCTCGTCTTTTGTGTCTATATTGGAACTCATACTGATCTCAGGGCTTTTGTACCTTACCAACTAATCCGAGATGCCGGCCAGAATCTACCGCTCATCCTATCCGTCGGTCAAGGTGATTGACAGTGACCTGTTGACCTACCTCTTCTCAAATCCGAATAAGACGCCAGAAGATAAACCAATATTCATCGATGCCGTCTCCGGGGCTTGTCGCACTTATGGAGAGATCAAGCGCAGAACTCGGTCACTTGCCCACGGTCTGCGAGAATTAGGTGTCAAGCCCAAGGATATTGTTGCTCTGTTCAGCCCCAATAGTATCGACTACGCTATTACTTGCTATGGAATTATAGGATGTGGCGCCACCGTGTCGCCCGTCAGCGCAGCATATACACCACTGGAATTGATAGCGCAACTCGAGACCAGCGGCGCCAGGTTCCTGATTGTCCATTCCTCGCTGCTCCCAACGGCCGAGCAGGCGGTGAAATCCATCCCCAGCATTCAGATTATTCAAGCAGATGGGCTTCGCGACAAGAAGGGCAAACCGACCGCCGAAAGTCTCGCTTCAGACTGTCCACCCAGTCCGCTCGTCAGCATCAGGCCGAGTGAGGCGGAAGAACGGGTTTGCTTCATGTGCTTCTCTTCGGGAACCACGGGTCGAGCAAAGGGCGTCATGACAACACACAGAAATCTGGTGTCCAATATTCAGCAGTGGATTGTCCAGTTGCACAGTGAAACCACGGGAAAACAAATAACCGTGGCATTTTTACCACTCAGCCACATCTACGGTCTTACCTCTTTTGTGGCCATGAACACATTCGTGGGTAACACTGCTGTCATCCTGAGCCGTTTCGACCTCGAAGTCTTCTTGTCAAACTGCCAGAAATATCGGCCTGAAATGGTTAACGTGGTGCCACCAGTCATGTTGTTGATGGCCAAACACCCCTTGATGGAGAAGTACGATCTCAGCAGCTTGAAAAGAATCTACTGTGCCGCAGCTCCGTTGAGTATAGAGCTCAGGGAGGCTGTTGAAGCACGGTTCAAGGAGTTGTATGGGACAACGGTTCTTGGACTGCAGGCCTGGGGAATGACCGAGACGAGTCCACTAGGCGCTGCAGTCACTGCCGAGCGACCGGATAAGAGAAATACGGTCGGGGCTATCACGCCTAACATGGAGTATAGGGTGGTTGACCCAGAGACGATGCAGGATACAGGGTATGAGCCAGATGGTTCTGCAGTACCGGGGGAACTGTGGTGTCGCGGACCAAATGTGACCAAGGGTTATTATCGGAATGAAGAGGCGACGAAAAATGGGTTTGCGACCGACGAAGAAGGCAGGCTATGGTTCCGCACCGGAGACATCGGGACCATTGACAAGGACGGATTCTTGA